AATTCGAGTTTAGCAATCTAGCGTCCACCTGAAGAAAAGAAAAAGTGTCTCAGATCACAATTCAAGTCAGCAACAAAGGGACTTCATCTAGAAAATACAAGTCAACAAGGCAACATGAATCACAAGATCAAGTTTGAGGATATAGATAGGATTTTTGTAATTCATAGATCATAGTCTAGTCTAGCTTCTTTTATTTTGTCATGGTGTAATAAGGAGTTCAGTAAGCAGTAACAACGGCGGCAGCAACAGTGAAATCACAGCTTCATGGTAGTCCCAGCTACCAAACCTTCCCGACCTACACTGACCTGATTCCTTTATAGCCAAAGGATATGTAGGCAACCTCAGAAGCAGGGTACGGTCAAATCTTTCAAAAATGCTTCCCATAGAGTATTCAAACGGGCAAAAATCGCTCGTATCCGCTCATTTTATCTTTGCACGAAAACTCTTTGTGTTTTCGAGCAAAGAGGGGCAGCCGTGAGCACGTGATTTTGCCCTATATGAATTATTCCCATAAATTCAAAACAAAAATAAATTTTTCCCATCATTTGCAATTTCGTAGATTTTTGTAGCTTTTTGTTTGCATTTGTCCACGCATTTTAACCTTATTAAATCATTGAAAAACACAAAAAAATACATTGCATTTGCATTTAGGATCTATTTTCACATTTTGAGGTTAATTATTAAATTAGGTGCTTTATTAAAAAAGAAAAATCACAAGATTGATTTACTTTTGCATTTCTAGCCTTTTAATTATAAATCAATAATTTCCCCCTTTAATTTAGAAGTAATTAATTCTTGTAAATAATATGTTAGGTTTTTAGCTTAATTTAGTAAATTAATTACTTTTAGGAATTTTTAATTTAAGTTTTAATTAATTAAAAAAAGAAAGGAAAAGAAAAACCAACAAAAAGAAAAGGAATTAAAAAGATTTTTGAAAAAGGAAAAAGGAAAGAAACCAATTTGGGCCAAAATCCACACAAATTCCCAGCCCAAATCTAACCTCATTAGCCTTACCCGCCCCAATTATTCCCATAAATCTCAAACCCATAATTCTTAGGCCCATACCCCTAACCTAATCCCTAATTCCTTATAACAATCAGATCATATACACATTAGGGGGGTCCCCATTTTTTTTCGAGATACCAAAAAAAACGGCGCACCCTCTCCATTTTTTTTCCAACGAGATCATCCTCTTCTCTTGGACACACCAAACAACGGTGCTTTCATTCTCCCGATCTCTCTTCACTCTCTTTCGCTGAATAAAGGGAAACTGGAACAGCCTTCTTCCTCTAACAAAAATGAGGACCCCCTCCTCTAACCAAAAACCTTAGCCACCCCATCTCTGACTTCTCTAAAAAATGACCAAAGGTAAAATCAAAAGCACCTACAAAATGGTTGAAACAAGAGAAATGAGAAAACTGGAACTTTCAATGGGGTTTGAAGAGGACTAATTTCGAAATTTTCCCTTCTTTCTGGGTTTCTAAAGGTTGTTTTGAGCCATGAAATTGTTGTCTTGTCACTGATTTTTCTGAGCTCTGTACCAGTTTTTCTTCACCTTCATTTGATTCATTTTTTGCTTGTTTCGCTGCTGTCCGAGCTGCTGTTGGATATCCCGTTGAACATTTTGGGCTTTAGCTCTCCATTTCAGCTTCATTTGGATAGTTTTGAGCTGTATTATTGCTGTCAAGGTAAGATTTTCAGTCTAAAAAAATAACTATTTCTAGCGTGAATCTTGTGAAATCTGTACCCATATGTTTACTTCGGCACTTGTTGAGTGATTTTATGTGTTATTAGCTTGGGAATCTGTATCCATTTCAGCTTGAGAATAAAATATGAGTTGTTCATATTCAGTGTGTGATTGATCTTTTAGAGCTGGTCTGTTTAGTTTTCAAATTAGCTTAAGTCTTTTTCCTTTGATTAATATCTGATGCTATAATACACGCTTCATTTAAATGCAATTAAAAAATTTGTTAAGTAATGGTTGATTAAATTGATGTCGTTTGTTGGCAGAACCTGTTTTCTAAAAGCAGTTATTCATCCTTAAGGTGAACCTACAGGGTTAAGCCAATTCCAAATGGGTTTTGTTTTGAGCTGTAAGGTTAATGATATTTGTCTCCTTGTGAATTGAGAATCTGTTAGGGAAATAGAAAGACATAAGTTGTAATTGCTTATGTAGCTTAGTTAGAATGTGAAGTATGAATTACTATTTGGTCATTGTGATGGGTTTGATGCATCTACGAAGTTATTCATAAGTGTTAAGGGCAAAAATAAAAGGATTGGTTTCCAAAATGTTTACTGATGTGTTTCATTCATCAGGAATAGGCCATTAGTATCGTAATTTGAAAGAATATAATTTCGTTAATCCAAATACTTAAAATTATACATCTTTTCCATAATAATTCAATATTCATAGCTCTTGACCTTACAACACTTCTCAAACTTAAAAAAAAAAATTCAAGAACAATGTAGTCTGCTTTAGTTAAGTTATAAATCCTTAGGAATAATTTGAGGCGTGCCATGCCAAATAAAGCCTCAAAACTCATGGCCCTCATTTAATTAATTTTAACTCTTTAGAAATTGAGGTGTGCCATTAGTTGAATTTTCCATGGCCCTCGCAAACTTGAAAGTGCGTAGTTGCTTTTGGCGCGTTATTTTAATAATTTACCTTCCTAAACTCGGGTGTGCATTTTGACCCAAATCCAAATCTCAACAATGTTAGATAGAATATGTCGAGAGCCACGGGTGCATTTATGTGACGTGGTTCAAGACGTATTTTAAATGACGTTGCAATTTTTTCTTAAAATTAAATAAAAGCGGTTATAAAGTTAAAATTGAACCATAGGCTAAAACATGTATTAAAATCCGATAATAGGCCAATGGTAACAGTTGAGCAACCGTGCTAGAACCACGGAACTCGGGAATGCTTAATACCTTCTCCCAGATTAACAAAATTCCTTACCCGGATTTCTGTGTTCGCGGACTGTAATACAAAGTCAATCTTTTCCTCAATTAGGGATTTAAAACCGGTGACTTGGGACACCACAAATTATCCCAAGTGGCGACTCTGAATTTTTAATAAAATAATCCCGTTTCGATTGTCACTTTAAGTTGGAAAAAACTCCCTTATATACACCCTCTCGGGGTGTAGGAAAAAAAGGAGGTGTGACAGAGTACAACCCCGAAATAACCCGGACAACAAAAATGACAACAAAATAAACCACCGAAACTCCTCCCTGGCTAGCCAAGAAAGGAGTGTCTTTCCAATTACCAAGCTCGACGTCTTAGCCACTAGGTTGCACATCAAAATTACTGGGACCTTCACCAATTTCAATATCATTCACTTCAGTCAGTAAGTTCCCTAGAGGATTCTCATACTCCTTGTCACCACGTATCTCTCCCACAAAGTGTGCATTATCATGTGCAGGTAAAGGATTCGGCGTGATGTTCTGGGTGTCACTGTCCTGGACCACAATTATCCCTTCTTGAATTATTCTTTCTATCTCCCTTTTCAAAGCACGACAATCTTCAATGTTATGCCCTTGGAAATTAGAGTGGTACATGCACCGTGCAGTAGGATCAAAACCTTTTGCATATGGGTCTGGAGTATAGCCGATGAGCGGCTCAATTAGGTTAGACTGTTTTAACTTTTCAAACAAGCTTGTGTAGGATTCTCAGATTGGAGTGAAAGACTTTTCTCTTTGCTACTGCCTTCTCATTTTGTACTTCGGCATTGGTTGGAACCTCTTTCGGGTAGGGGTTGATATGCTTGTAGAGATGGGTAAGACATTTGTGGAGGCGGTGCAAGCCGTTGCGGGTTTTGTAAGTGTGGAGCATATGACAGTGCATTATGGATAGAGTACTAGGGAGGTGAGGTATGACTTTAGGGATTTTGTGGAGGAAAGTAGCATTGGTGAAGATTATCTGGAGTACGAAGATATTCATAGGGTCGGTATTGAGGTTGAAAGTGTTTAGCAGGAATGCCCACTGGATCATGTCATTGGCGGTGCTCATCAACATCATTTCTATCAATTGGAGAACTGACCCGAGCAACTTGTTCGTTCCATCTAAGCCAAAACTCCCTAAAACTTTCCGTGGGTCTCTTTCCTTGGGCATCAGGGACTTTGAACACAGTCTCGCTAGAGGATTGAGGAAGAGCAGCTGGTGGAGGGGCTACATAAATAGGAGCAAATATCGGAGCAGGGTATGAGGTTGTTTTGGCTGGTGGAGCATGGAAAATTTAGGAGGAAGTGCCAGGGTAATTCTGGTAAGGGGTAAAGCCCAGGGCGTGTTGAGGTTAAAGATCAACAGTAGTGGGAACCTGGGCTTGTGATAGTGGTGGGATAGTTGCAGGGTATTCAGTGTAGTTAGTGGGGAATGAAGGTGGAGGATGCCCCTTGACCCAAGACTGATGCATTTCTGCCATCTGTTGTTTCAACCTTTGGACCTCCTCTTTCAATTCAGATTCCGACTTCTCAATCTCCCTCGACGGGTCAACAACTCTTGTGTCCAAGTCTTTGCTAGCCATGGGTACCTCGTTCTTTGACCTTGTGCTGTATGGATGAATTGCCAAAGTACCACAAACTAACCACCCTCTGTTATGATAACAATGAAAGTAACAAAAGGAGCAACACAAAGCCGACATATTAGCGTTAGGGCATTTATCAGATAGAAATATCACATTGCGTACAATGCACCTAGCAACAATTAATAGTTCTAGAATGACTTCGAGGGTCACAAGGTCATTTGGCATCATCCCAATTTGTTCATTTTAACCTTCTCTTTTCTTTCTTTTCAAGCACTTCTTGGTTTGCTCCTTTTCCTTCCTCTCTTTTTCTTTTTAATTGTCACTCTTTTCTTTCCTCTCATTTCTCACATCCCACAACTTTTTTTCTTTTTTTTTTAATAATGATTCGATCAAACCCTATGTAGGTTGGCTACGTATCATGTTCCTCATGAATCAGATCAAGTGTAGTTCTGGAAAAGTAATGGACAAAACAAACTAAAAACAAAAATCTTTTTAAATTTTTCATTTATAACCTTTTTTTTGGTTTTCAAATACATCATAGGAAGTATGATAACAAAAGACTAGAAAATCTTAACTAGACTGACAGACTCGATACTACTGTACAAGACTAATAATTAAAAGACAACATAAATAGACTAAAAAAAATAAAAAGTTTCCTCAAACAGTTCGTGCATGCAATGGTCCTGACTAGAATGGTCTTGGGGTATTTTGTCATGTTCAAACATTAGCAAATTGCTCCATACCTGAATGAGAAAAATAAGATCAAATAGATCAGTGACTCAAGACACCATGAAATCTCCTATTGGACACATGCAAGGCATAATTTGGCTATTTTTGCAAAATGACCTAAGTGGCTATTAGCGCAAACTTGACAAAGTTGACCCCTAATGCATGAAAAATACTCCATTTAAAGCTCACACGGCTCCAACATCCCAACAATCATGGACTTAAAAAAAATTACTTTGCGAAAATGACCCATTTTGCAAAAATGGCCGATATGGTCAGAAGTGGCTAAAGATGCAAACTCAAAAGGAAGGACCTTAAAGTAATATGACACCAAGTTGTGGACTCGAGATCCTAAGACATGGGTAATTGAACCATATTTGCGAAAATGACCCCATTTTGCAAGAATGACCGATGTGGCTAAAAGTGGCTAGACATTCAAATTCAACAGGAACGAGACTTGAAGTAAGGAGACAGCTAATTGTGGATTCTAGACTCTCCAAACACGATTCAACAAGCCACTTCGCAAAATAGCCTTATTTTGCAACAAAGTCGATGTGGCCAAAAGTGGCTATATATGCAAGATTTGGCTAAGACCTCGCGAACCAAGAACCTAAGGCTTGCTAAGAAAGACCGGACCCTATGTGGGTTGCCTATGTATCACGTCCCGAAAGACGAGAATCAGGTTCGCATAGTTCGGGAAGATTAGATATAGAATAGAATTAAAAAGAATGCATCTATTTGAAAAAAAAACTATATTTTTTTGTCTTTTTGAAAAATAATGATGAAAAATGTAAAATCTTTTAGATTTTTTTTTTTGATTCTGGAAAATGATAGGAAAGTGCAAAATCTTTTTGGATTTTTCATTTTCATTTTTTTTTGTCTTTTTCTTGAAAAAGTTGTGAAAGAAAAATATAATTGGGTCCTGCTTGCTTCATTTTCACCCTTCTTTCCCAAATATCGGTCCGCCAAATGGCCTTTTTACCCTCAAAGATGTAACATGTATCACATAGGGATGATTGAATGTCTTTTTGGGCTACGGGCCCATTTTTGATAAAATTTGGATAGGTTTCCTACAAAGGGACATGGTGCCTGGGACCAAGCCCTACTAGGTGTAAATGACATGATGCAAATAAAAATGACCTAAAAACTGACCTATGTTTGGGGTTCACTAACAAGGAAATTCGGTGCGGCACGTGATCGATGGCAACAGCTCTAGCTGTCCGCCCACTCCACGCTCCTACGCCACCCCCCTAAAGACACGGGTGACTTACAAAAAGGTCGTGTACGCTCAAACGTACTCCGGAAGACTTGTTGCAGAAAGAAGACTTATGATTATGCAAATGATAACAGTTTATGAAGCAGTAACACAAAGGAAAAACTGTAAACAAATAAACAGCTAGCAAATAATAAAAAGACATAAATAAAAAAAAAATCAAATAAAGCAAACAAAACACATAAAAACCTCAACCTAATATCCTAAAAGCCAACAAGATCAAGTACTAGCTCGAACCTGCAAATCCCCAGCAGAGTCGCCAGAGATGTCACACCTTTTTTTTTACAAAGTAACCCTCTAAAATAATAAAAAGATTTAGTAAAGCTTGAAAAGGGTTTTCCATTAGAAAAGTGACAAAAATGGTGTTCAAAAGGATCAACTCAGAATCGCCACCTGACTTTGATTTCGGTGTGCCAGGTCACCGTTTTTCTAAAATTAATTTTTTTCCTTTCAAAACACTTGAGACTCCAAAACTAAGTCTGCACCATAGATTCGGGTAAGGGGATTCATTTGACTTGGGGAGAAGGTGTTAGGCACTCCCCAAGTCCTGTAACTAGTACGGTTGCGTACTCGATTAAGTTGGCTTTTAAAATATTCAATTGAGGTAATAAACACAGAAAAGCAAATAAACACACAAAAGGCTCGAGGTCGTCCCTACCTAAATGAAAGAAAATTAAAAGAAGGAAAATTAAAGTTCTAAATTATCATACGCTACTTCTTCTACGATGTTCGCCACGGTCTCCAATTATAGAATACTACGGGGCATTCCCCGGAATAAATATGTACAATTCCTTCGGGGCATTCTCCGGACAAATTTAACTAAGGGAACGACCTCTCGCCTCAACACTAATAAAAATCTTAAGTCATGCCTACCCAAGTGTGGTCGGCTTAAAGCATGCTACTAGCGGAGAAATAATGAAATAAGACTATTGAAAAATTAAGCCGAGTTCTTTCATTTTACAGTCGCATTCCGCCGCATGACCCGAGCTATCCAAAATAGGTACCAACCATACCAACAAAATCAAATAAACTTATAGAGGAAGCATTTAAATATACGTAACAAGATAAAACATTGCACAACGAGATAATAAAAAAGATAATTGGCCATTTGAAGTTTAAGACAATTCTGACAATGGATTTTTGCTAGAAAGGACTTGGTTCTATCATTTGCCTAAATATTAGTACTTAATATTATAAACAATTTTATATCCCAAAATAACTCTCACATATTAACCCAAGAAATGTTCTCATTCAAAATAACTTTGTTGAGCAAGCCACTAACACCCAAAGTAATCGAACAACTATGGAAACAAAATTAAAGATTTAAAAAGTCAACAGATACAAAGAAGACTACAAACATCTAAAGAGTAAAATTAATTATTTATGTGCCAATGTTCTTAACGGGAAGATAAATTAAACTAATTGGTGAATTAATCCCGTTAGGCCAAATAGAATGAATTTCATTAAAGATTAACAAGCAGACACACATCCAAACAAATGTTCCGTTCAAACACCAAAACAATTTGAAATCTGAAAATCTAAGAAGAAACAGAGTGAGGAATAGACCTTTAATTGAGCAACGACCAAAGAAGCTAACGGGGACACGAACGCAATGGAACCTCAAACAAAACCTCACACCGGAGACAAATTCAATCGGAGTTCGTCCGCCTTCGCTCTGTTTTCCCCTCACTTTTTTTGTTTTTTCTTTTTTGTTCCTTGGACTGAAAATCGTCCTCCCTCTTTCACTCTCATTTTCTTGGTTGTGAAGCATAAGAAGTTAGAGAATGACAAGATTAGAGATCAAGAAGTCTAAAGCAGCTGGAAGGGTGACCAGGAAACTGTCTCACTGTCCGTTCCCTCCCTCTCTTCATCTCTGTGCGTGTACCTCCTCCTCCTTTTTGTGTACGTCTTTTACTAATGGCAGAGGTGGCTGAAATTCTTAGGGTGTTAGGTTGGCCGGCGGTTTTGGGTGGTTCAAGGTCTAGAGGGCAGGTTATGCGGCTGTTACCTTAGGAGCCCCCTAGGGTTCATGGAAGATGTGGCTTTTATTTGGTTTGGGGGATTAATATTGGCCATAGGATTAAATTTAAATAAAGGGCCAGGATTAAAAAGTTATGGGTTGGGTTAATGGGTCAATTGGGCGGGTCAAGGGGTTTGATGGCTTAAGGAATTGGGTTGTTAAATTTGGGCCTCTATTTGTTAAAATTGGGCCAAAAGAAAGCTGAAAAATCCATTTTAAATACCTACAAATATGTAAAAATTCTAATTGGTTTTGAGAAACTATTAATATTAAAATTAAAGCTAAGAATTAAAGTTAAAACTATTTTTGGTATTTTCAAGGATTATATTAGAATAAAAATAGGTTGAAAGTAATATGTCTTTCTAAAAATACGTAATACTAAATTAAATAGGAAAATGAAACTATTTTTATTTATTTTATTTATTTTTTGTATTTTTTATTTTTCACTTTTTGTGCCTTAAAAATAGAATTAAAATTAGTAATAAAGTAAAATCCTATAGAAATAAACTCAAATAAATATCCTAAAAATACTAGGACTTAGAGGTGATTCTAATGCGTGGTCAAAAATTACATGTCTACAATTGACAAAGCTGAGAAGATAGATTCTCAGAGTAATGAGAGCTTAGTTGATATTGATCCAGTTTTAATTGCTAAGGCACCTATTGCACATGAAGGAACCCAAGATAATGATGGAGATAGTGATCAAGATCAAAATGAACATCATGGTGTAGATGTTATGGATGCTCCAGTTGATGAAGTTGTGGTTGATCAGCAACCAATTCCTGCATTGGTAACTACTTCGAATGCTCCTGAAACCTCTCTTAGAAGATCTACAAGGGAGAAGCAAAAATCCATGCGCTATCCTCCTGAAGAGTATGTACTTTTGACTAACATGGGAGAACCTGAGAATTATGATGAAGCCATGCGAGATACTTACAAAGATCAGTGGATCGAAGCGATGTAAGATGAGATGAAGTCACTCCATGAGAATGACACATAAGAGTTAGTGAAATTGCCGAAAGGTAAGAGAGCTTTATCTAACAAATGTATATTCAGAATAAAGCAAAATAACCATACCTCTGCTCCTAGATACAAGGCGAGGTTAGTTGTTAAAGGTTTTGTCTAGAAGAAGGGAGTTGACTTTGATGAAATTTTCTCCCCTGTTGTGAAGATGTCTTCTATTCATGTAGTTCTAGGCTTAACCGCAAATCTAGATTTAGAGGTTGAGCAGATGGATGTCAAGTCTTCTTTTCTTCATGGTGATTTACATGATGAGATTTATGTGGAGCAACCTGAGGACTTTCGTAATTAAGCTTGCAGATAAGCATGCGTATTGCAGAAAATTGGTAGGCATGAAGCATGTCAAGAGTTCCTCTACTTGAAGACACATTTGCCCCCCTGGCTGGAGGGGGAGTTTGTTGGGCACATGCCCATGTTGTCCAGCCAAAGGCCCAATGAGCTAATCATATTCTCTTTTGGTTTCTATTCCTATTTGGAATTGGATTCGGTTTATTCCTATTTTGAGTGAGTTTTGGCTTTAAGAGAAAACACCACTCATGATCTATAAATAGGACAACCTTGGAGAATTATTCTATGTTCATTGATACAAGTCTTTGAAATACTTAAGCACATAAGAGTGATTTTTGAGAGAGCTTTCGTCAAGAGATAAGAGAGAAGAATATTATTTGTTTTGCTGCAGATTTTTATTCCGAGCAGCCAACATTCAAATCACGTTTTTAATTCGTTAACCGTTGGATCGGGCTAAAATTTTGACTGAGTATTCGTAACATCTTGGTCTTGGATTTTTATGGTAGAGATCGGATTTAGAGGATTTTAGTATCTGATTTCGAGCCTCGAACAACAACTTTATTTTTGTGGATTATACTCTTTCTTCAATTGATTAGTTGTTGCTCTTGTTACTATTGTTGCTCCGTGTTTGGCACTTGTTGTGTAGCCAATTTGGAGAACTTTTGTAACCCTCTTATTGTTATAGTGGATTTTTTTTGGATCTTTGTGATCCCGTGGTTTTTACCTTCGATTTGAAGGGTTCTTCATGTTAAAATTTGGTGCTCTGATACCACTTGTTGGGACCGAAAAATCAGGTGTCATGCGGAAGCTAGTAAAGAAAACCCTTAACGATGATAAATCAAATAACAAAAAGAGAAATATACAAAAAGATACACAAACATATAGCGTGGTTCGGTCAACTGACCTATGTCCACGGCGGAGATGAGCAATCCACTATAATAAAAGAGAGTACAAAATATCGAGAGAACAACCTCACGAAGAGGCAAACACAAGTGACACACTAACACTTGTCCCGTAGAGTTCTCTCCCTAAACATGACTCTCAAGCCCCATATGATTACATTTTTTTTGTGGATGCTCCTGAATGAGAAGGAAGGATCCTCAATTTATAAAACTTCAAACCTTTTCCTACAAGAAAAGGTACTAGCCAAATATGGAAGATTTGTAATTTTCTTCTACAAGAAGAAAAACCTAATTAAGGTAAACATGTTGCCTTTCCATCAACAAAATATGGTAAGAAAATCAGGACAACTCCTAACAATTCTCCCCTTTGGCCTGAATTTTCTGACAAAATAAACTCGATCCACCTTCTTCACATAGTCTTCAACAGGTCGCATCTCCAAATCTCCACCACAAAGTTTGTCTCAACGTGCGTAGCACACCGGTCAAATTTCTCAGACAAAAATCATGATTACCGTCAAATAGGTTGCGGCTAGAACTGAATCCACTAAGATGAACCTGTCTTGAACCTCGCTCTGATACCACTTGTTGGGACCGAAATAATCAGGTGTCATGCGGAAGCTAGCAAAGAAAGCCTTCAATAATGATAAATCAGAAAACAAAATAGAGAAATATACCAAAAAAGACACAAATATATAACGTGGTTCGGTCAACTGACCTACGTCCACGGCGGAGATGAGCAATCTACTATAATAAAAGAGATTACAAAATATCGAGAGAACAATTTAGAGGCAAACACAAGTGACACACTAACACTTGTCCCGTAAAGTTCTCTCCTTAAACACGACTCTCAAGCCCCATATGGCTACATTGTGGATGCTCTTGAATGAGAAGGAAGGATCTTCAATTTATAGAACTCCAAACCTTTTCCTACAAGGAAAGGTACTAGCCAAATATGGAAGATTTGTAATTTCCTTCTACAAGAAGGATAACCCAATTAAGGTAAACATGTTGCCCTTTCCTTCAACAAATAGGAAAATCAAATATGGTAAGAAAATCAGGACAACTCCTAATAAATGTATATATACTTGAAAAATAATTGATTTTATTATAATTACAAATTTAAATATACCAAAAGGCAGCATTACTCAGTAATTTTAAGACCTCTTATTGAATAAAGTAGAAAAACATACTCTCCGACCAACTCTATCTCGGTCCTTCTCGCCATCACGCTATCGATTAGACTTTTGCTATCTCCTTTACGAAATTTAATTGCTTCAATAGATGATGTAGGAAGTAGTATTTTTTCATCAACTTTATTTTCTCTATACTCTTTGGCCATAATAATATCAATTATGCATTGGCATAATTAGCTTGTCAAGGTTGGTTGCTTTTTACTGCAGGAATATTCAAGCCTTGCTTTTTTATTTGGACGTACGCGTCGCGCACAAAATTCAGCTTCATCATAATTCATATACAACTATAAATATTTTCTTTTTTTTATTTATACAACAATAAGTGTTTAGAGTTTGAATCTCACTGGTGGATATATATGACATCTGAATTGTGAAATGAATTATTCTTAATATACTGAATAAAAATTTGGTAATCAAGTAAAATAAAATTAAGAGAAAAAGGTCATTTATCTCATGTGCTATTCAAAATTATCCATTTTCTTGTTTTTCAATGAAGTCTTGGAGCTTATTCTGGTCTTGAGGTTGTCATGGTATTTTCTTCACATTAGCCTATCACAACAAGGCAAAGGCAACATAAATTCGATAAAGAAACAATTATAAGATGTAAATTGAAATAAAGATTAAATAAAGGAAAAAAGCAGAGAAGGAATTGACACATTTATCAAAATAATAGTTGCTTTGTCCTTCAACTTTTTTGAAATGATTCGGCTGTAGTAAAAGAATATTATCCCAATTTGTAAGAAGTATATTGTCTATGTAACTTTAGAAATGCAACAAACTAAAAGCAATATAACAAGAGCTAACACAACTGTTGATATGTAAATATATGTGTGATTTCATCTTTCTCAATTATATATTGATTTTTGTCCGCGAGAGCAATAAGTAAATAATAAGTAAAGCTATTTATGCTATAAAAGATTTTACTACAAAGCTTGTCTTGTTATCATGTTTCTGGGGAAGAAGCTTGGGATACATCGTCCACATACCCACACCAAACAATAAATATCTACCTAATAGTAGTAATTCTTTCAATATATATAAATCTGAAACATAATTTAGTAATTTTTTACAATCAACCAATTATTTATGGATAATCTGTACATATGTCCAAATCATAATATAAGAAATTATCAATTCTAATTAGCAGGAATTTATGCATCTTATTTCATTGCATATTCTACAATATTTAAAGGGAAAATGACACTGTATAACCGCTCTTAAAATATATATATNTTAAAAAACTCACATTTAAATACTAACAAATTCTCGAAGTTTGAGGGAAACCTTTTTCCTCTTTATTTTTTTATTCAGTTTGCAACAACATATGTATTCAACTATAAATAAGAACCGAAGATGTAACTTTATCTCTGCATATGCAAGTTCAAAAGAAAAGAGTACTACCAAAACGTCTTGCAAAGTGAAAACTAAAACTCAAACAAACGCTAAATAAGAAAATTATATGATCGTCTCCAAGTTTTTAAATTTATCGTTAGCACTTTCTACCAAAATGAGACATTTAATTTATACTATCGTAAATGAAGTTATACAACATAAGCAAGCACTGTATAGGTTATAGCTAATTAATATTATAAAGTAATAAATATT